CCCCAGTGTGTGCGGCATGGAGTCAGGCTCTTCTGGAGCTGACGCACCCACGAAGGAGAGGATACCAAGATGGCAGGAGGGAGCCTGTGCCTGGAGAGGCCTCGGGCCCAGGGAGGTGCACTGCCTGTGGGACTGGGCCCCGAAGCCTGGCCTTCCACGATGGGCGGATAGGGGTGGCAGGGACAGCGCTACGGGGTGTTGCCTGTGTGTCTCTAGCATGGCCAGGAGGCCAGGCAGCAGCTGTCAAGAGAGAGCCTGGACAAACCCGCGTTCCAGAGGGACCTCTCACAGCCGTCCCAGGAAGCCAAGCCCTTCCTCAGGGCTCCAGGAGGGGCAGGAGATGGAGGAAGCCCCTGGGGCTGCAGCCCAGAGCTGCCTGAGCCTCTCGGGGATGGGGGCTGGTGGGTTCCGACTCCGTGGGTGACGCTGGCAGGCCGGGTGCCTTGCAGGGCCCCCGGAGGTGAACTGATGGCTCTCGCTCTCACTTCCGCCTGCCAGAGCACACGGACTTCTCACGTGGGCAGCCCTGACCGGCCACTCGGCGAGGGGAATTCTGAGAAATGTTCCCACTCAGCTGGGTCAACCCAGCACGAAGTGCCCAACTGCACTTCGGGGAGGAGTGACATCTGAGTTAGGGCTGATGAAGAGGGAGGTTGTGGACAGGGTGGGGCAGCAGCGGGTCAGGACAGCTGGGCAGCCCCCGAACAGCAGTGGCTCAGAGCCCAAGCACAGAGCAGGTCCTGAGCAGCAAGAATGAGTGGGGGGCACACGTGGGATGAGCACACCCAAATTCCAATCCCCTGGATACCCTGCTCGAAACAGATTCTAGGGAATCCCCTGACAGTCCAGTGGTTAGGACTCTGCGCTTCCACTGCAAGGGGCGCAGGTTCCATCCCTGGTGGGGTAACTAGGATCCCACAAGCCTTGCGGGCGTGGCCAAAAAAAAAGACAGTCTAATTTCAGGCAGAGGCCACTGGATTGGCGTAGCCTGGGCCCCCGTTGTGACAAATGGGAATATGGTCCCCAAATCTCTACTTCCTTCCTGTAGCAGGGCCCCCCCAACACACACACATGAGAATACAGTGCCACCCTCCCCTCCCCACATTGGAGTGGCAGGCCTCAACCTCCTGCCCCATGGGTGGCAGTCTTGGCCGAGAGACTTGCTTCGGACGGGACGTGAGCAGACATGATGAGGCTTAAACATAGACTTTCAAAGTGCCTGTGCAGTGTGGCTTGGCCCCATGAGTTTTGCAAAGAAAATGCCTCAGGTAGCTCACCTCCTGCAGCCTAGGTCCCAGAGAGACCCTTGAAACAGACCTGAATTTGACCCACAGTCTGAAGCTGAGCCCCTCCAGGAACCTGCAGCCCCACCGGCAAGTAAGAAAGAGATATGTTCCAAGTCACAGAGATTCCAGGGGCTGTTTGTCACACAGCATTAATATGGCAGGAACTAGGACACCTGCCCATTCCTGGGCTAGGAGAGGGGGGAGCGTGCAGTGAGCTGTCCACGCCTCCCAGACTGCACCCATGGAAGTAGGCTAAGTGTCCAAGTACATTGAGGCGCTCTTGCCAGAAGGAGGTGGAATGGATACTGGGAAGGTGGAAACCAACATCATCTCTCACCGTGCTGGAGCAAGCAGCTGTTCACAGACGAGGCAGCAGGGGCTCGCCTGTTAGCAGGAGCTCATTTTCTTCCTGTCACCCTACAAGCGAAAAGTAGGTTTGAACCCCAAAGGAGCAGCTGACTCTGATGATTTATAGGGCCTGAAGCGGCTCTGTGAGGGCAAACTGAATTCTGAATACAATTCCACACCAATTAACTCTGCTCAGAGCCTGACAGAAAAGCAGTGACTCTAACGCAAAGCCAAACAGCGGAGACTGATGGGGCTGACAGGCCACCCTGGAAGCAAGTAACTTTCAGCGATGCCTCTCAGAGCTCTGCTGGGGAGGGCGCTCTGCTGTGTGTGGTGACCAGGCGAGGGCCTGGCTCTGGGGATGGGACCGGGGGAAGGCTGGGCTTCTGGCCTCACAGCAATGGGCCAGCAGGCTGGGGGTGGGATGGGGGGCTTCTCTCTGGCAGTGTCCTGCCCTTGGGGAGGGTCCCCTTTCCCCTGTTGGACTGGGAGGGATGAGTCCTCGGGGATGGGATGAGGCAGGAGAGACCTGGCCTGGCTGCAGACCAGAAAGCTGAGCCCCAGGGGCCTGGAGGGAGCTTGTGGGGAGGCAGAGAAGAGGGAGGAAATCAAGGTCATCAAGAGCCAGGTCCTGAGGGGCGTATCTCTCGGGGGAGGCGGAGCAAGGGGCGAAGGAGCCCTTTCTCACGTGAACAAGAGGGGCGCACAACCTGTGGTCCCCAGACCCTCAGCCCAGCTTGTTGGAAAGGCAAATCTCCAGGACCAGAGGAGTCTCTGGTACGGTAACAAGCCTCCTGCCCCTGTGTCACTCCAGGTGAAGTTCAGACCACCCACCACAGGGAGCATAGTCATCACGCCCCCACCAGGGTTTATGGAAGGGACAGCTGATGCAGAGAAGTTAGACCATCTGCCCACGGTCCGATGACAGAAGCTGAGGTTGGAGCCCAGGTCCTAGATCTACCCTGCCCAGCAGAGTAGCCACCAGCCACAAGGGGCTATTTCATTTCAGATTAAAGTTAATAAATAAAATGTACAGTTCAGTTCTTCAGTTGCATGAGCCACACCTCAAGGGCTCAAGAGCCTTGTATGGCTGGTGGCTACTGGACTGGACAGCATAGATCTAGAAAGTTCCCATCACTAGCATGGTCTAGAAGCTATCCCTTAGCCACTGTTGGTGTTCGCACTCCAAAGCCCCCCCCCCACCATGTCTCCCCAGGAAGAAGAGAGCAAACGTGTGTGCAAGCAAACAAGTCAAAACGAGAGGCACAGGGGCCCTGCCACCCCTTACACCAGCAGGGAGCGGAGGCGTCAGGCACTCAGCTCTGCAGGGCTCCTGCAAACCCTGCAGAGCAGGTTTAGAGCCCTGGGAAGGGTACCCAGTCATTCTGTCACGATGTGCATAGCTGGGGGAAAAATGAGCACAAGGCAGGCAAGCAGGCTTCGGCCTCAGATCGCCCCACCCTGCTCCTCTCCAGAGGGGAGGTTACCTGGGCCCAGAATCCTGAGGAGACGGTGGCAGCTGGTCCCTAAGGCGCTGGCCAGCCACCTGGAAATGAATCGAGGGAGGGAAACACCTGGGGGGGAGGGGGGGTGCTCCCCAGGAGAGCTAAGAAACTCAGAGAGGAGTTCCCACAGGGCGTCTACAGAGACCCCATCCTTCACTCTGAACGCACATCCAAGCGTCTTCAAGAACAGATGAGCAGACACAGTCATTTCTACACTTGAAAATTTATACACTAGAAGCTGGACCTTCCCAAGCATTGCTCTAGGAGGGTGGGGAAGGGGTGACAAGGAAGGGCCCATAGGAAGCCCCTACAGTCCCCAAGGTCAGTTCAGCAGCCCAGGCTGCAGGTCTCTGAGGCATCTGGAGCAGATATGGGGCCTGGAGACCCCTCTGGGGATGGGCAGGCAGGCCCAAGGGCCTAGATTCAAATGAAACCCAAAAGTATTTCCCCTGGGACCACCCCCCAACACAGATTTTCTGGCCTTCTGTCCTCAGAGGGGAATTAGGGGAGGACGAATGCAAAGAAAGTTTTCTGCGTTCCTAACAAGGCTCTTAAAAATCAAAAGGGATGCTGCTGGGGAAAGTCAGATAACAAAATCTGGAATGGGAAGAGGGGGAGGAGCCCCTCTGGACCCTGCCCCCACCCTAGAGAGGCTAGGAGAGGCTCTGGGGAGGGCCCAGAGCAGCGGGAGCCTGGCAGGATGGGCCTGGGAAGACTGGAGGTTGGTCTGGAGGCCTGAGCTCCCCACCCCCTGTATCCGGAAGTTTGTAGAGCAGCCTTCCCAGCCGCCCCCCCCCCCGGGACAACCCTCCCAACACCCTGTGACA